ATAGAAAGTTTATGAGATATTGATATTTTATTATTATATTTTAAAGATATATCTGTGAATTTATTATTGAATTAAATTTCGATGGTAAGTCTAGATTTTTTTAAGGATGATAAAATTTTATGATGATGTAAATATTTTCGGAAGAATAAATTTTAAGTTTATGTTGATTAAACTTGAGAAACATTACTTTTCTTGACTAAAATTATCGTGAAAATATTTTTTGATCTGGTTATATATTGCCATATCAAGCTATATAAAAGAATGAATATATAATTTATCATATATCTGAAGTTTAAGTTCAGAAGTTGATTAAAATCAAAATAAATGTCTGATAAGCTCCTCAGAGGAATGAAAAATCAATTTTTATTTCATAATATATGAGATTAAAATTAATTCTCTTATTAGGAGACAATTTAGCGACCATGCGCCACCTATCGGAAATTTTCAACACTAATTTTTATGGAAAAGCTATATATGAGCATATTAAGTGATATCGAAAAATTTTCTTATGGCTAGACAACATATACCTAATTACTAGAAAACAGAATAAGAAATAAATTCGACTGAATAGAAAAATTAGTAAAGCAATTTAAAAAATGTATGCTGCCTTTGAAAGTTAAATTTAAAATTTCAATATAAAAAAATATAAAAAAGCTCCGAATACAACAGGAAATCACATGAGAATAATAAAAAGCTAGTCCCTTAAGGTTTAAAGTAAACTTTTTCTAAAGCGTGCAGTATAGAAGTAATACAACTGATATATAGTGATGGAGCTAGGTCGGGACCGAAAAACGTTAAGGGAAGCGTCCCAAAGGATCCACTGACAACCGAAGGAAACTAGTTTCTCCTGGCAAAGTTCCGGACGATCGGAGCCAACGGAATCGTAGACACTCTTCAACAAGCTAAGCTCTCTTTCCGTGGTCCCACTACACGCTTCGTAAAAATATATAGCGGCTGAATCGGGGGTGAGAATGAGAAACACGTCTATGGAGAATCCATCGACTGGAACATACGAGGAGGTTAGGTGAGCTTTCCAAAGGGGCTGGAAAAGAGGTATAGCGCTGCTGGGGGATGAGTTTCTGCGATCTTACTCAGGAGACTTGCCACGTCGGCAAAATGCTCCCTAGAAACACCTGGGAAAGGAGGAACAGAGCCAACAAATCCGATAAAATCGAATTCGCGATTTCGTGAGCTCAGAGCTTACATGTTATAGCCTGATAACAAACGATGCGGTAAAACAATTTATCGTTAAAATGAAAATCGACACATTTTTAAACTATCTTTTCTCTATCATTTATTTTTTTTTTATTTTATCGTTAGTTTGTTTTCGGCTTAAGTTGTTTTCTATCCAATTTATCGCGATATTGGATTCATTTTTTTTTGCCGTGAATATCAAATAACTTTTTATTCTTTTTTTCACAGTTTTACAATTTTTATTTTCAGAAAAAGTTTTTTATGGATGATTAGACAAAAAAGTAATTTTTTCAGTGTTGTGGCTAGTTATTATATTAATTCAAAAACGTTATTAGATCTATTTAAAAAAAAAAAAGTCAATTTTTCAAATTGAATCAAAATCAGTTGATCAAAATATTGAGCTTTGAGTCTACAAACAATTAAATTATCCAATCCAAAGTTTCAGCCTATAAAAAATTTAATCCAAAAGTTTTTTTTTTCGGCAATATATCATCAAAAATGATCCAATCATCTGAGAAAAAGTTTATCACTAATCAAAAGTTTTGATTTGATCAAAATTCTGAATTTCTCGGGGATCAAATTGTAAAGTTTAAATCTTGACGTTCGATTGATCATCTTTGAATCCTCGAAGTTCTCTAGTCCAATCTTTGAAACCGAAGTTAACGTTGTAATTTTATTATAAGCCAAAATGAAGTTCCTGACAGCTCATCGTACTATGCGGTGTAAAAATGTCAATTTTAATTAGTTGAAAATAATTTGATATGATTTAATTAAAATGGTGATATTAATATATTCAATTTCATATCAGAGCAATACCAATTTATTATTTATATTAAAATAAAATAATACGCTTATTATATTTTGCCTTCAACATATCAACGTTATTATTACAACATCCAGCTTGTTTGAAATGTCATGCGTCATTAAATACGCTATTGAATCGTAAAATCACATATTAAATAATTCCCACTTTTGTTTCCTGACAGTAAAAAATTTTTTTTTAATAATTAAAATTTTACAACTAAAAATTCTACATCCAGCACTGAACAGAGTGAAAGAAACTTTTACAATTAAAATATAAAAATAAAATAAAAAATAATTGGCAATTTTTTTTTTTTTTTTTTTTTTTCAAGAACTGTAAAATTCCACCTATTACAGTTTCAACGACGCAATTTTTTTATTACCCAAGTTTATGAGTACGAGAAAGCAAACAATAGATGGATGTGCGTTACAACGTGTGCTCGTTACGCAACTTTGGGTTGTTAATGTGGGAAAAATGTCAGAGGGTTGTAATGAATAGCATGAAATAAAAAGTATGTGTGTGTGTATCCAGTGAAGAGTATATATGTATGTATATTTTGCTTCATATTTTATTGTGCATGTATGTAAGTAGTAACATATATACTTGATAGCAAGAACCACATGCGCAATTAGCTATAACGGATTGTTATATCATAAACGCTCGGTATACGTGCCGCGAATTTTTATAATTGCAGAAGTCTGTCTAAACAGAAATTAAGTTTACAATATTAAAGAGCAGGGAAAAAATTGCTCCCAGCATTTTAATAATAAGTATTGCGGATTATTAAAAGCTTCTTGTCTAGTCGGATTGAAAGTGGTTGTGTTTTTTTTATTTGTGCTGTTAATAGTATTGCAATCAAGATAAAATTTTGTCATATTAAATTGTACCAGCAATCACAATTTTTATATAAATCATACAAAAGGCATTCTGTTAGAAAGAAAAATAATCGCTGAGCTTAAAAAAATTTTTTGTAATTAATTAATTGCCATTTTTAGATAAACAAAGTAATTTTAATGGTGTGGACTTTTGAAGTTTTCATAAAAAGACAAACACGATAACTTTTGAAAAAATCAATTTTTAAACTCAATTTATTTTTTAACCTCCTCATCTGACTTATTGAAAATTTTAAATTGAAAAATAAGGTTTAATATTGATTATTTTTATTGTAATTAATTTTTTTTGGCTGGTAGGAAAAAATTTCTATCCTTTGAGCAGCTAAATGTAAAAATTTATATTTAAATACCGAATTTTTTAATTTATTTCTTTTAAAATCGGTTCACGAGTAATCTAAGCTTTAATTAAAAAATGTATAACCGTTGATGATTGTATGGCTGCCAAAAAATTTTATCTTTAACAGCAATAACGTCAATTAACTCCATTAAACGGAAAGAATAATTTCACAATTCAATATAAAGATTTTATTTCAATATTTAATAATCCGTAAAAAAATCTACTTGCTACTTACTATTAAAAATACATTAGAAATTAAAAAAGCTACATTTTAATTAATACCAGAATTAAATCCATCATATTTATTTCACGAGTAACTCTACAACCGATGCGGTTTGCTTTTAAATTAATTATTTTTTTTCTTCTAAAAATATGGTTTTAATTGAAATTTGATAACGCGATGCAAATAGTATTTTCAACTAAATAATTGCACTAAAGGGAAAAAAAAAGATTTTTTTATCATTATTTGCAGCTTTTAGGACACCAATGAAAAAATTTACTTAATTTTAGAAGGAAATTTTGAATCAAGAAAATTGTTTTGAAAAATTTCTTTGTCTTGTTTCCGGCAGAAAAATTCTCGAATCAAATAAAATTTACAAAAAAAATTTTTTGTATACTTCATTGAAAATAATCAAATTAATCAAAGTGATCTTTTTGGTATAATATTTTTTTCTTTTAAATCAAATGAAATGAAATTTAAAGTTTAGGTTCAAAAGCTTGCGAGAAAAAACGAAGTACAAAATTTAAAAAAATGTTACACTCAATAACAAACAAGTTTACTTAAAAAACGATCGATAAGTTTTTATGACAAAGCTAGTCACGTTACAATAACAAACCACCTTGTAATATCACAAAATCAATCTGCTGTTCAAACAAAATAAGCTTGTTAGAACAACAGAACACTTTACTACTAAACCCATAGCTTAAGCTGATTTTGTTGTCATAGGAAAATCAATTTGTTGTCATGACAAAATTATTTTTACGTTGATAACGTGACTAAAAATTCATAAATCCATGCACACCAAATTATATTAGTGTAATTACTTGATAAGAATACTAAAAAAAATATGAGATCAAAAAACTATTTTTAAAAATTTAATTATCGTGAACAAAGCTAAAAATTCCTGCTATGAAACTTTTCTACATTTAAATAATTTTTTATATTAATTCAAAATAATGAAAATTTCCGTGGTTTAAATTTTTGTTTTTGAATCAAGATAATTTATTAAATAATGATAAATAGAACGAAATTAAATATTTTTTTAAAATAAAGCGTGTTCATAAAAAAATCTTCTTGATATTCAATCAGAAATTTTTTATACAGTTTTTAGAATTTCTCTTGATTGAAACATCTATAGATGAAGGTCTTTACATAACTATTCAGTTCTTAGTGATAATGATAATCATCCTTATTCTCATCAAATTTAACCGGTCCACTTGAGAATTAATTTAATCTCATCCACGGATAACCCTCAATATCCCTTAGGCGCATTTAAATCGTTAGATACTTTCTTAATAACTTTTTAATTGATCAATTAATTAAAAAAAAAAAAAAAAATTCATTACTAAGTTATGAAAAAAGTGAAAATAAAATCTCAAACTTTACTATTATCAATAATAGCAAAATTATTCTATCGATTATCATTGAATATTTAATAATACATTACCGTACGGTCGTCGCAATAAGGTTCTATTAAATATTTAATTGAAGCTCATTACCCGGCAGTAATTAAAGGATTAAATTGTTAAGTAGATTATTCGAAAATTCACCAACCTGTGACAATGAGTCGAGCGTGATTGGAGCTTTCAATGGTTTCTCCAGTTACGTGATGGACGGTTCTACATCGATACCCGTTGTGGGTGTCGGCTGCGGTCACTGAGAAAATTAGAAGCTCGCCGGTTGGTAGCATGTGATACTTTCCATCTAAAAGAATTAAAAAGCTTTCATTAATTTTTAATTACAGCAGCTTATAGAAGATTGTTCGAATATAGTGCAGTGAATGACCCAATTGCTCAGATTTTTATCATTTTTAAGATATTAAACATTAATTTAATTGCAATAGCTGTGCTCAGAAGAGAAAATCAATTAATTCGGTTTATTTTTATAACAACTCTCGAAGATGAATTTTGAATATTAGATCTTAAATTTAGTTATTTTAGATTTAGATTAATTTATTATTATGCCAAAGCTAATCTGGCCAGATGGCATTATTCAAAAATTAAGTACATAAATTTGTTTAACAGTTAATTATACAATGATTATTTGCTATACCTAAATAATAACAAGATTAATATAATAAGTATTTATAAATATTAACGATTTTACATATTAAGTAACAATGTTAAAAATAAGAGTTAAGTTCTGATAATAGTATACAAATAAAACGATTTAACCAAATATAGTGAATAAGACAATAGAGATTAAATATCCAGATTAAATAAGTAATCGAACAATTTATTCTTGAATATTTCTAGGCTAGACGAGTTAACAATATCAACTGGAAGTTCGTCCCAAAGACGTATGACCGTTACAACAAAAGAACATTCATAATAAGTTGTAGCAAAGTTCGGCATTTTGAAACTACTGTTTTTCTTTGCTGCTAATCTTTCAGAATGCCTAACAGTAAGATCTTCACAGAATAAATCTCGCAAGTAACAAGGTTTTTCTATGTCTAAAAGTTTATAAAAATAGCAAGCAACATAATAAATACGGCGACTTTTAATAGATAGCCAACCAAGTTCACGTCTGTAAAGAATTTATAAACTTTAAAATAAAGAAAATTATTTTAAAAAAAAAAACGAGTTTTTTGCTTTAATAATTATTTATCTTGATTTTGACATTCAGGGTCTATGTATTTTTTTCTTCAGTCGGTAGTAATGTGCTCCTATCTTTTCAATATAAAATTATTAAATTATCTTCAGTCGATAATTTTAAATTTTTAATTGTTCATATTAATTTTTCAAATTTTGCATAATCTTTAATATAAACTAAAAATGACGAGAATTTCCAGTTGTTTATAAAGCAGCTATAAGAAACTAGAGTTTGGTAGTAATTCTCCTAAAATTCTATTTTTTAGGCAAATAACAGATCTTAATTAAGTCGTATCAGTTCTGAATATCTATATATGAATGCAGTAAACGTTCTTAATGAAAATTCCAAGATAAATCACTCGATAAATGGAGTCCAAGACATTTTGCCGAGTCCGTATACGGGAGTGTCACACCATCAATGATGATAGGGGGTAATCCTTCACGTATAAGAGATTTCACTCTATTATTTGATCCTAACAGCATGGCTTTTGTTTTAAGAAGATTTACTTCTAAGCCATTCTCTCTGGCCCAATCAGCAACAGCTTGGGCATCAACATTTATCAGCCTTATTGCTTCATGAAGCTGATACGAATAGAAATGTAAGTAGATGTATGTGTCATCGGCAAATAGACCATATCGACTATATGCCAGCCGTTTAGTTACTAGGTTCATAACTATTAGAAATAATATAGGTCCTAGGACCGAGCCTTGAGGCACACCAGACGTGGTTTCAACAAAACCCACCGGAATCCCTTGTTCATCTACCACTGATTGATTCCTGTTAGTCAGATATGAAAAGAACCAGGAGATTGTATCAATTGAGAAGCCTAATTCAGCCAAGGTTCTCAAAATAACTTTATGGTCAACATAATCAAAAGCCTTGGTTAGATCAAACAAAACTAAGAGCGTCAATTTATTATTATCCATGGCTTTGCTGATGTCATCTACAAGTTTTAACAGAGCAGGCTGAGTACCATGATGTTTTCTGAAGCCAGATTGGTAGTTATCAAGCAATTCATTGTCCTCAAGATAGTTCATCACTTGATTGGCTACTACTCGTTCAAATACTTTGCTTAGATGCGAAGTATTTGCTATCGGACGAGTATCAGATAACGAACGCGGTGGAGAGACTTTGTTTAATGGGATAATGTATATCAACTTCCACGCTTGTGGAAATATGCCAGTATCTAGAGACCTATTAAAGAGCGCAGTGAGAAAAATAGTGATTTGCGGAATGAAATTTTTTAGCCAACGGAGATCCAGTCCATCAGGACTCTTACCCTTGGATTTACCTAATGTTATTTGCAATGCTTTAGTAACATCTACTATGTCGATTTTAGACCAATTAAAAGAGCAGGTAACTTGACTTTTGTATACGGACTCCAATGATTGAACAAATTCAGGGTCACAAGCGGGATGCCTTCTAACTGTATTTGCAAAATGAACATTTAGATCTGATGCATCGAAATGTTTCAATGGAGAGGAAGAAGATCTATTAACTAAGCCTAAATGTTTTAATTTGCTCCAAACATTCGTTGATAGTGGGAGATTGACTAACTCATTCCTCAAATAATTTTCACGGGCTCTATTTAGCTGCAATTTTAATTCTTTTCTAAGTAGTCTGTAATGTTTAAGGAGTTCAGCATCGTTGTTCCTTTTTGCACGTTTATACACAGAGTCACGTACACAGTTATACACAGTTATATCGCGTTTATACTATTAAATTAATAAATTAATAAATTAATTTTAATTAATAAGAAGACTGAAGTAAAGTGGAGCAGAATTACAAATCAAATTCTTTAATAGTATTTTTCATTATAAAATTAAATAAATTTTTTTAGCTATGGTTTAAAATTAAATTGTGAGATACGGTAAAATTAATTGTTTTTTTTTTTATAAATCTGGTAAAGGTGTACAATTTTATTAAATGTTGCAACTAAAAGTTCAATTGTTTATTGTATTGAATCGGCGAAAAAAAGAATAGTTGATTTTTTACAGTTTATACCCGAGCAAACAAACTGGAAAAAATTACATTTCTATAATAGATTTTTTACAAGCTCTGCAAAAAAAAAAAATTTCTTGAATAAAGTATATAATTTTAAAGAACTTAGGGCCAGTTTTTCAATCCAGGATAAAATTTTATCCGAGATAAAAGTACCGCCAATAAAATAAAAAATAACTCAGTGACGTGATATTGCTCTCAATTAGTTCTCCATGAATTTGGTCGTTTATTTAAATAAAAATAAATAAATATATCATAAAAATAATAATAACCTTTTATTGTGTCATTTAAATTATTTTAAATTAATTAACACAATTATAAATTAATAATAGATATGTCAAACGCAAGATATGACCCCGAAGGGCTCAAAAGCATAGAACAGCTACCTCTTTGAGCTCATAAAGCTCAAAATAATACATAAATTGTAAAGAGCTCAACAACATTATAAGTGCAATTTCAAGCGCTTAGGTATGGAATTAGCGGGAAGTTACAGGGATTTTCTTCAGGGTCGTCCGTTTTCCTAATACTTATTTTATTTATTTTTAATCAGGAAGTTGTCACAGTTGGAGGTGAATATTTCTGTGACATGTGACTAATATTTATTTATTTTAATTCAAAATAAGTGACTGAATTCAAGGAGAATTACTCGTAGGCAATATCACTGTGCTAAATTATTTATTTTTTTATCATAATGGCACTAAGGTAAAAGACCCAGTTATTGACACTCGCCGAGTTATTGACACTTGCAATTTTATTTTAATTAAAAAAAACAAATCGACTCTAATAAATTAATAAATATAATTTTTTACTTATAAATTTTCAGATAATTGGTTTTTAGAGAACATTTTATTTTTTTAATTAGAATAAAATTGTAAGTGTCAATCAACTAGGCCAGTGTCAATAACTGGGTCTTTTACCTTACTTTTATCTCGGATTGAAAAACTGGCCCTTAATCTTCTTGATTTAAGGAAATTTTATTTGATTCAAAAATTTTTCGTCTTGATTCAAGACAATTACCTTCTTTAAAATTATTTTTTTGGTTCAAGAATTTTTCTCTCAAATCAAGATAATTTTTTTTAGTATGTAAAAAGTACATTCTAAAATCGTAAAAATTAAAGTTTAAAATAAAATTTTTAAATTTTAACTTTTTACAGATTTAAAAAGTACTTCATTAAAAATGTATAAAAATTTGGCTAAAGTTCATAAAAATTGATACAGTTATAAATAATAATAAAAAAAAAGTATTCAAGCGATCAACAGAAAATAAAAATCAAAAATCAATAGCTCAATATTTTTGAGTCAATCGAAAGAAATTGTTCCTCTACAATAGATAAATTGAAATTACTTATAAACTTTTCACAATCAGAAAGCTCTTAAAAAGTTTTGTAAGTCTTAACTTATCAATGGAGCAGAATAGAGTAAGCTTCTAGAGAGTAGTACTGTCAATACTTTAATTTTGAGTTCATAAAAGACATCAAACGTTCAAAAATTGGATAACGTTACTTGTACGTTATTTGGTGATCTAAATAGATTTTGAGGTAGTATATACATGTTGTTATGAAATTTGTGATTGTTATTATCAGTATGACATACTTGATAGGATGCGGAAATTTATAACGAAAAGAGTAAAAATAAGTAATGGATAGAGAGGGTGGGTAACCCTGGACTCTATCAATATGCAAATTTCCTTAATGGAAAATCCCTCTGTTGTTACCGGGCTGACATACATGACGTCAGGTATACAATAAAAATAGTAAAAAGTATTAAAGGAAATAAAAAAATATTATAGGAAGCTATACTAGGTGAAAACAAGAACGAGTATTATGAGAGGGAGGAAAGGAAACACGGCCAGACGCTTGGATGGTCCTTCGAGCGAGTCGAGAGAAAAAAAAAACCCACCTGAAAAAAGTACACCACGGAGAGGAGATGTAAAGGAGACCAAAAAAACCGAGATCGCTTGAGAGAGTTGAATTATACGAACATGACAATGTGTGTAAAAGAGATGAACTAGTTTTCAGGAGATAGGACTAGTATTATATTATGGCTACTTCATTTATTTGAAATTGAATTAAAAATTTTTGTTTTTCGTCAGGTTCTTTTTATTGATTTCAGAAACGCTCTTTTAATTGTTTTTTTTTTTTTGCGTTCTTTAATATACATGCGAGAAATTAAAATAAAGTGAGACGTTAATTAGAGGATTGTGGAGAACTTTTTTCACTCTTTAATTTAATATTTACGCGGTTTTAAGATTGTAAGTATATAAAGACAATTTTAATTGAGTGCAATGGAAAATTTTGTTTCATTGTGATACTTAATGTCTTTAATTTTTATTAAAAATTTTCATTTAATATACATTTTTTTTCAAATTTATTTATAAATAAAATATAAATTTGAAACATACATATTCTTTTTTATTTGTATTAAGCGTTATACAATTGAATCAATTTCAGATAATAAGTATTTAGGTTGCATTCGAAAATGCTCTATCTCTAGATACATAATTAAGAAAGTACCTTGTAACTTGTAAACTATTGACATTTTTAAAGATATAAGCTCATCCCGATGTTACACTCATCGAGACCTTTCATTTGAGTACCCACATCAATTTTCCATATATTAATATACTTTTTATATATGTACTAGGAATTTAAATTGCGCGCATACGCGCGCACTCTAATTCTGAACGTTATTTCGATACTAAGCTAACTTCATTCTACCATCAATTTTAGTATAATATAGGATATATGAAAAATATATAAAAATGCATGTGGGTATTCAAATGAAAGCTTTTGATGAGTGTAACATCGGGATGAGCTTGTATCTTAAAAAACGTCAATAGTTCAAAAACTACAGTGTAATTCAACAAAAGTTATTATTTAAGAAAGCAGAATTTAATTTATTTAGAGTTCACAAGTTACGGCAGTCACAAAGTGACTACAAGGTTGCTAGTTTAGTATTAAATTTTATTAAAATTGACTTAAATTAATCAATTATGCAGTTTAATTATAAAACATGATCGTTTTAAATATTCTGCTAGTGAGTACTTTCAAAAATATGCCAGATTTTTAAAATTAATTTTAATTATCGTTGAAATATTGATAAAATTCTCCAGCTCTTCATTTCCTGTGTGTATAATCAAAACCTATGTGCTAAATTTTATTGTTTAAGCGTACATATTATTTCTTTCATTACACATATTTTCCATCATGATATAAACATTCATTTTTCACAGTATCATTTCTCACTCCTTTCATTATTGTGTCCAGATACACAGCCCATATTCGTTGGAAAAATAATATAAACGCAAGTATTTATTAACAAAAATCGGAGGATTTCTGTGTGTGCTGATAATACACCGGTACTTCATTTCATTGGTTGAACTTCTGTCTACGCTTTGGTATTCAGTGGCGCATATACTATACGGCCATTATCGATTTCATTTTCATCTCTGCACGCGAGTTAATATCGCGAAAATTCGAGTAATCCACTACACCGGTACCAGTACAAAAACAAAAAAAAAAAAAATACAACACCCTGCCGAACTTTTTACGACCATGAATATATATGGGATGAATTTTTTATTTTACCTTCTACCGAATCCTTTCTACTTGAATGCCGTAGCCCCAGTGAATAAATACCTGTCGTAACCAGGAATTCGCGCCATTCACTGATTTTCTCATCATCCATCACACTTTATTAACGTGAAATATGCTTTTGAAGTTATTGTACTCCAAATTAGGAATTGATGAAAATATTCTAAATTTTCGTTTACCGAAAAAAATTCTTCCGCAGAATGTAATAATTAAATTAAATTAATTTAATTAAATCAAACTAAATTAATTAAATTAATTAAATTAAATCAATTTAAATTGTTTGCCGAATTTTCAATGCAATAAATATTTTTCATATAGTGAATTTTATTAAGTAAATATTCAAGGTAATTCTCTAAAAAATTTTCCGGAAACACGTAAAAAAAGTAACCGATTCTTTGGCGTTGTTTAAACAGCAGGTAAATGGCTTACAAAATAAGTAATATTTTGTGTGAAGATATTGATGTAAATTAAATTAGCAGACATCCGACAATTTTTAGGATTTTTTAAATTAAAATAATTATTACAAAAAAAAAAAAAAAGAAAAATTCCACATTTAGAAGATTTTTAGAACGATAAATGCAATTTTTTGATTCTAATTTAATAAATGAAAAAAATTAATATTCTGAAATTTAATTTCATCAGGATCATTTGTATTGTTATTATTATTTAAAACAGTCGTAATTTATTGTATCGGTTATTAATAAAGAAATGAATATTTTCTGTGAATTCGATTTAAATATTCCACATTTAATAAATAAATAAATAAATAATTTAGGATATTACGGATCAAATCTTTTTTTTGTCAATTTTTTATTTCAATTCTAACATCTAATTAAATACATACAAAAATTACAAAAAGTAGTCATGTTATATACAATATGAATAACAAACATAGTTAAAAAAAATTTTTTCACTTTTATGTTAATAATTAATTTTTAAGGTATTGTTTTTAATTTTTTTTAAATGCTGTTATGAATATTTAAAAAAATTTTTTAGATTTAAAAAAAATTTTTTTAAAAATATGTCTGTTATTTATATTGTATATAAAATGACTAATTTTTGTTTGTATTTAATTAGATACCTGAAAAAGCCATGATCCATGGTGAAACGTCGCTGAATTGAACCGTTTTTTTCGTCTGCTGTAAATTCTTTTCATTGTGATTATGTAAACAATTAAAACCAGTGTGTTAATGTTAATCACCAATTACGTTGAGCAATTTGACAACAAACAACTTAAGATAAAGTAAATCCTCTTAAAATTAAGAATAATAGCTAATAAAATTAAAATACGTGAGAACGGGATTAACTTTGTGGATTGGTAAAGTTTCCGAGTCTACAGAGAGCAACCTTGCTGCAAAAAAAATTGGTTTTACATCCACTCAGGATTGATAAACAACAGGAAATTCTATTTAAATCTATAAGTCAGGAAGACATCCAGCGTTCAGTATCGAAGACGTCCGTGTTGGTACACGTAACACAAGCGAATGAGACAATAGAATGAATAGATGAGACAGATGGATCCTTTTCGACATAGAGTAAATGGGGATGGATTTGGCATGGTATTGCAAGGTAAAATAGTAAGTACATGGGTTTGATGCAGACATTTGTTGAGAGATTTCAGAGATGGAGATGGAGATGAAGGTAATGGTATGCTACTGCGAACTTGCATTGTGGTTTAAAGCCCTCTATGCTTTTCTACGGATATACATTTCTCATTCAGTAGTACACTGCAGGCTAGGCTAGTCTATCTCTGGTGCATATCCAACTCAAACTACTCTTCAACGTTAAAGTTATTTTGTCGCTTGTCTTCTGATACTTTGTACGCCGCTTCGCATCTTTACAACTTTTCTTCAAGTTTTGATTTTGAATAATCCACTTTATTAATCAACAATTCTTCTTTGATTTTAAGAAAACTTTTATTTTATTAAAATTTTTTTACTAATAATCTTTTGCATTGAATTGATTGATATTTTTATTTACAAACTACCTTTTACAATTTTTTTTATGTGTTATTACACATTAAAAAATTTTATGTTATAGCATCAAAAAATTTAGTCTTAAAAATTTTTGTGTTAAATATTCAACATTTATTTGGTTAAATCAACACAAAAAAGTGTTAAATTTTTAACACAAAATTTTTTACTGTGTATATTCATACAAAAAAAATTTAAATTTGTCAAAAATTTAAGACACAAATAATTCATTTTTATTAAAATAATGAATAATTTGACCGTGGCATTTTTATTAAATATTTTTTATTTAACATTTTTATTGAAAATAATGATGGGCAATAAAACATAATACGAAAATAATAAAAAATGAAATTTTTCATGAAAACGAAGTTAGCTGATATTTCAAAATTTTTAGAAATTTTTTATTGAAGAAATTTCAATTAAACAATTAAAAAAAAAATTGTCACATGTAAAAAACTTGAAGAACTATAAGTGCAATTTTTTAGAAATATCCTTTTAGTTGTAATTTAATTAAAAAAAAAAAATCACAAATTTTTAGACGTCTGCTAACTTCAGTGTCATAATTTTTCAATGAAAAATAAATTGAATTAAAAAATTTTTTATTCATAACAATTATTATTCATTTTTTATGTTTATTAAAGCTCAGTTTATTAGCGGCTGCGCAATTATTGATACTTTTAATCTGGATTTGTCGAATAATATACGTCCTTTAAATAAATTAAAATGAATTTTCCGCAATATTCAGTAAAGATAAAAGACAATGCGGTATTTTATTGATGGATTAGTGCGACATACAAAAATAAATTATCGGAAAAAAAATTGAAGTTATTTTTTATAAAAGGAAAAAAAAATTTTTCTTTTTAATATATTTTTTTTAGATATAAACTCGAAATTTTAGCATTAATAAAATTTATTATAAATGTATTGTGCAATATTTGAATAGAATAAGATTACAGAGCCCTCTTTGTAATCGGCTGGACCAATCCGGTATCTTGTTTAAAAAATTGTACGCGGGTACACTAGAAGGTTACTCCACCCGCATGCGTCATTCGATTTTTAGGTGGGATTGCCAGGCAGTTTAGTAAACACAAGCGAGATTATTTACTAAACGCAAGCGAGATTAAAGAAAAAAATCTATACAAATTATATAAAATTGCCGGATTTCTTAAAATTTAACTATGGCAAAAGTATTAAACTGTGTTTTCTGTAGCAATTCTTCCGAAGAAATGGTATTATTTTCTGAACAAATGTTGAAGCGGTGTAAAAGAGTTTTAAATTATAGAAAGGAACATAACCTTAAATACAAAGACGTTGTTCTACCGAACAGAGAATATGAAGGAGGATATCACAAAGGTTGTCAGAAATTGTTTACAGCGTTGATGAAGAAATATTGTAGTTCTAAGTCCAATAAACCAAAATCTGTTAAAAAAAAAGTTTCAAATGATTCAGAAGATTTATGTCGAGAGACTTTAGTACATAAATTAAGTACACAATCAATTGAACCAAGTCCAGTTACTCTTACACCTAGCCCGATAAAATTACTTGTGCCAGTTATAAGACTTGAGCGGATTCATGTTAAGCCATCAACTTCTAGAGAAAATGAGCAGTTAGAAAATACTAATTTGTCCTTTGAAATTAAAACTAGGCCTGAATATAAAAGAAATATTTGCATATATTGTGATCGAACTTATAAAACTTACCGTCAAAATAAACAGCGTTTATATTCAACAGAAAAAGATCAGTTTTTATTGAAGATAACGCGTGAGAACAATGAAGAGTTTTATGACAAAATAGTTAAAAATCCTGATTCGAAAATTTATTACCATAATACTTGTAAATTAAGATTTTGTTATGATACGCCATTGGTTGGTTCTCAAATTATTGGGGCTACTTCTTGGTACTGTATACGTCAATATCATCAGAAAGCTTTTAAAAAAATAAGGGCTTTTATTCTGAAAAATGTTGTAAAGAAAGGACGTTGCTATTTTATGAGTTATATTTTTAAGATTTATTTGGATTATTTGGCAAAAAAGAGTCAGAGAAGTGAGGAAGAAATTGCAGGATTTTTATCGACGCATCGATTGGGCGATCAGATACTCAAAGTACTGCACGCAGATGTGAAAATTTTAGTAGTTCAACGTGAGAAGATACTAGCGCCGAAGAAATTAGAGGTTATTAATGATGAGTTGTTTGAAAAATTGAAGAGCGACAATCGATTGTTGGTGAAGCAGTTCCGATTGTATCAGGTAATTTATTTTTACCAGAGTTTAGTTTTTCGTAATTAATTTTTTTTTTTGCAGGGAAATTTTCAAGAAGAAAATTCGAATGATGAAGCAGAAAACTTGGAGGATGTTGATAACACTGATGAATTGTTGGTTTTATAATCTGTTTTTATATTTCGTTTTTATACGAATTATTTTTTAGAGTTTTATTACGAAAGCATTATTGATTGTTACTATTTATAAATGATTAATTTATTAAATTTATTGTCAAGGAAAAAATTTAATTTAAACTATAAATTTTATTTTATCCAACGATTTTAGCATAAAAAGAGATGAATAATATATTTGTGCTTAATGATTGAAATACTTTGTTTTAAATTAACTCTTCAGTTGGTTCTTAATATTAAACATAAAATATATTAATTAATTTATTATTCATTACATTTTAAGAGCTAAATATTATCTCATTTTATGCGATTCATCTCGAATAAAATATTACTTAAAAGCGAATAAGCTCAGTATTAAAAATTTATTTCCATTAATTTCTATATTAGTACAGCGTTAATAAGTTAAAATAATAATGATAATAAGTAAAAATAAAAATTTTAACAAGTAAAAATAATAATGTCTTTAGTATCTGAAGATTAAGGATTTTACTGAATTTTATAATAATTTTTTAATGAAATAAAAAATAAAAAATTAAATTAATTACAAAAATATTTTTTTCTTCAATATTATTTTTAATTATAATAATTAGGTTGATCAGACCTCAAACGCAATGTTGACAATTAGTTCTCACTTTACTCTTCAGGAAATCTAAAAATACATATATTAAATAAATAAATTATTTATTTATCAAAATTTTAGGCCCTGAACCTTAGCTCCCTAAAGGCCTTACAAAATGAATACAAAAGAGATAAATATCATAATAATATCATTAATAACATAATAACAAATAAAACAATAATAATAATAATTATTATTATTATTATTACTTCACCAGTTTGTAAATATTGTATTAAATAATACAATATTCTATAAAACAGACTACAAAATTAAATCTATAAATATTTTCAATTCACATAAAAATTTTTTTTTTAAATTAATAGAATATTGTATTATTTTATATTTACTGTATACACTGAGAAAAAAAAATTGTTTGTCCAGAAAAAAATTTCTTGGCTCAAGAATCGTTTAAAATAAATTTTGGTTTTTTGACAAAAGAATATCAATATCTATCATGATAATAAAATATTGGCATTAATTTTGATAGATTAACAAACGAATAGGTTCACTTGAATTAAACAAAAAATAATTCGATCAATTCTTAAGACAAAAAAATATATATTCTTGAAAATTATCAAGAATATATATTTTTGTGACAAGAAAATTTTCTTAAGAGGAGTACTTTTTTTTTCTCAGTGTAATGATGGAATTTAAAGAGTTATTTGACATGTTTTATTGGAATATAATTTTTTATTTAATGAATGTATTTTTAAATTGCCTGAAGAATAAAGTGTGAACTAATTGTCAACATTACGCTTGTGATCTGATCAACCATATTTTTATAATTATATATTCCCTTAGACCTGATTAAAATAACTATGAATGATTACTTTTAATAATAATTCAAAATTATTCAGCTTCTATTATTCGTAAATGCTTTTGCAAATATTATTCTTCATGTTTCTTAAAATTATTATTTCAAGAGTCTTGACTTGTATTTTATTTTTTATTATAAATGAATAATGAATTTATGAAAAACAAATTCTCAGTACACCTGAATATTTCATAAAATTATTCTCAGAACCACTGTTGTGTACGTTGAAGTTTTTTTTAAAACTAAAACCAATATTTGAACAATCAATATTTATAGCGAAAATTATCCACCCCATTTTAAAGATTTATTATCACTGTACTTTTTTTTTTATTACGTAACAGTTTTGACTTTCTCAAGTTATATAGTATAAAGTGTAGCTTTAACATCACCCCAGTTAGTTTATCGCTTCACTATATAATACTAGTACCGTGAGTTTCTTAAACTTTCTACGCTTGTACGACTCAAATAAACGTCAACGAATATTTGCTACATCTGGCTACTTGAACTTGTTCTTACCGTCGTTGTTTTCCTTCCATATTTTATTGAAACTTTCGATGTCTTCTATTCCATCTATTTTACCTTTAATATTTTTACCCCGACTACACACTTTTTTTTTTTTTATTTACTTCCGACGTAGACATAGACATTTCCAGTTTATGTTTTACCGATAAACTTTTTTTTTTTCAGGAAATTTATGCACGGAACTACTCTGATAAATAATTTATCATTATCATCATAAAAATTGAATAATTTTTTTTTCTATGCTGATAGTTGAAATTAATTGTTATTTAATTATGATTAAAAACGTAGAGTTTATAAGTTTTGTATGTAAATTTATTCATACGAATGCAGTTATTAAAATTATAAACTTTTAAATGAATTACTCAGTTTTAATGAATTACACGTTAAATAAACTAAATACCGCTGGGAATATTTATGGTTTGAGTTTTTGGACCGTTGGGGCTTCATTATAATATATGAGTAATAAGAAACATATATTGTATTTCACTGTGTTTGGATTAAAATTATTTTAGCTTTTATGTTTGTCATGGTCATCATTAGTTACAATATTGTTATAATTTTTATATATCACAAAAATATGATGAAAGAGATAAATTTTCTTGAGCAAAACTTGATATAAAAATAATAATAAAAATTATGAATTATAAATAAAAAAAACTTGGGCTTCATGATTTTTTTATATTTTCAATTATAATAAAAACTAGCAACCTTGCAGTCACTATGTGACTGCCGTGACTTGTGAGTGATAAATAATTAAAATTTTTTTTTATTAAATAATGTCTTTTGTTAAATTACACTGTACTTTCTTAAAATATATATAATATACATAAATATATGAAAAATTGATGTGGGTACTCAAATGAAAGGTCTCGATGAGTGTAATGTCGGGGTGAGCTTATATCTTAAAAAATATTATTAGTTGGCAAGATAGCAATGTCAGTTCTTAATTATTGACATTTTTAAAGATATACGCTCATCCTGATGTTACACTCATCAAAACCTTTCATTTGAGTACCCACATGGCATTATTTATATATTTTATATATATGGTATTTGTGAAATATATAAATATATAAAATATATGAAAAATTGATGTGGGTACTCAAATGAAAGGTTTCGATGAATGTAATGTCGGGGTGAGCTTATATCTTTAAAAATGTCAATATTTCACAAGATACAAGGTCATTTCTTAATTATGTATCTAGAGATAGAGAATTTTTGAATGAAGCCTAAATACTTATCATAATAAATTGACTATCAGTGAAAATGAAATGAAACCTTAAAATGTCATAAATGTCAAGTCAAGACCTTTGCAATGACACTGAATTTCACTAAAAAAAAAAAACCGATTTCATTATATGACATTTGGAAACAAAATTTTTCTTATTCTCTTCATAATAAAGATAATTCCACTACTCTCGAAATAAATAGAAAAATAATATTGCTCTGACTAGATTAATTATTAATAATTTAATAAAAATTTCACATTTAAATATCTTTGAACAAACTTATGGAATAAAATTTTGTGAAAATCGATAAAAACTTTTTATTTTATCAAAAAAAAAATTTCGAAAATTTTTTAAAGATTTTTTTTAATCATAAATTCAACAAAATTTTTTTAATATTCTTTATATTGTTTATCAGTATTCCAAAATAATAAAAATATTTACATTAACTTAAAAGTCATTAAAAAAATTTTACTATCAACAAAACTCACCGCTTTCAGGAGCCGGATAAATATTAAAAGCTGAATCTTGTACCCAAGATGTTATAGAAACATATTCTTTGGCTTGTGTTGGAACGTCACATCTTAAGACTCCAGTATTTCCCGCGAGTACATGCGAGTCCTTGACTCCAACTTGGTACTTCTGACGAACCACTGTAATAATGAAGTCGTCCGAAATTATATTCAAGCACTCAGACATAAAATTACAGCAATTTTAATTATAATTCATGTTAAATTAAATAAAATTCCTATTCGTACATAAGCTCTGTATTATGCACTAGGATTTACTGAAATGTTAAAATAAAAAATAACTATACAAAATAATTTTATAATTACTAAAAATTTTATTTCAAATCTTGAATTATTAAAAATGTGTGCTAAAAATATCCCGCCGGTATTTTATTTTAAAAACATTACATCTGGCATTAAAAGGTTTGAGTAAACGCTTCAAGCATTTAGAGAGTGAATGGTGGAGTATAAAAGTAGTGAAACGTTCGTTGGAATAAAAGCAGTTGGCGCGATATGGGACTGACTCTCTCTGTGCGTATGCTACCAAAATCTTGATCTTGGCAGCAGAGGGTGTGAGAGACGGTCATTATCCTCGCGAGTGGGAAGTGTGCTTTTGTGACTTTTATTCCAAATATATAAAAGCATCAAGCGTAAGTATGTTTGCGTAGAAACTCTGGTACCTGATAACATTATTTAACAGAAATGCGTATATTTACATCAATGTGAGGGCATGTATGTAGTGGTAAAGGTAATGAATATATCTTCCTGAGTAATCAAACGAGGGAATCCCTAAGTCATCAAGTTAACTTAGACAACTTCGGCATTTACTCATTTACTATTAAACTCGTACTAATCACTTGGATATTTGAATTTCTGGACTTCCTTCACTTTCCGGTGATAAGAAAATTAATACTAGACGTTAGATTAATTCATCTTTAATTACTTGGTATTGACATTTATTTTTGACTACATTTCAATTTAGCGTCATCACTCAAGATCTTTTTAAGATACTCATCTCTTATTTTCCTTTTTTTTTTATTTAGTAACTTTATACGTGAAAGTGAATTCTATTACAATTTTTGAAAAGGGTACTTAAATTACTCTTTTTTATGTATTTAACTCTTAGAGAGCACACACCGTCGTCAAATGTAACATATACTTATGATCAGTTTACCTCAATGTTTTTATAAAGTGAAAGTTGTTTATTATTTTAATTTTGCATGGGCTAAATTTGAATATTGTCTTATTGGGTTAAAGTTACTTTATCGGCTAGAATTAACGAGAATTTTTATACAAGCAATTTTTGAAATAATTATTAATATTGTTATTTTGAATTTTATGTAAGGAAAAATTTTACAAAAAAAATTTGCCAATTGATGTGAATAAAAATTAAATTAAAAATGTTATGCTATGATTATTTATTCTTCATTACGGAATATTAAATAAATTGTTATTAATTATTAATAAATGGCCTTTGGCCGCTGTCTTGTCAGTAATTTTAGCTACAAAATGTATTTGATATAATCAAAATTATTGTACACTAGTGCACAAAATATTTTGTATCTAATAAATATTTATTTATAATGTAAAAATTTGTATATTGTATATCAATTGTGAAATTATGTGACCCTGTTAATGGCCTTTGGCTGTTGGGTCTTTTCCAAAGAAATAAATAAATAAATTACTGTCCAAACAATTATTAAGATTTATCTGTATATAGAAACAATTTAAAAAAATTTTTTTCTTAATTAAAAAAAGTATAAATTTTTGAGAGCCGAACAAAGTTTTGAGAGACTAAAATAAAAAAATTTTTTTTTTAACAATAAAATAATTTTTTTCAATTTTAATAAAAAAAAAATCACATAAGAATTGAAAAAATTGTAGTATATTTTTAAAGGAAGCAGTGATTAAAATCAATTATTTTTTAATAAAAATTTCATAAATTTTAATTGAAACATTAATTAAAATTCTTAAAAAAAAAATTATAAGCTAAGAATTAATAGAAAAAATCATCAATTATTTTTATCTCAATATCAGTCAGTATGTGTTCGAAGATGAGTTTAATAAAAATATACATAAGTACAAAATATATTTACATATTAAATAAAATCCCCGGATAAGCATTAAATATATTGGTATTTCCATAAAAATATTATTTATAGGATTATTATAATAAAGCAAAAAGGCTGTAGAAATATATTGTTATCAGTATCAGGGTGGACCAGTCAATAAATAATTCCTGAACCGGGATAAGTGATCCTTGGCACGTTACAGCCATTAGAGTAAAAATAAATAAATATGATACTAACCCAGAAGAGGAAAAAATAAAATAAAATGTAAAGCACGTATTTCCTTCCGGAAAAAGCTGCCTCGGTTTAACGTGAATCTCGATCTTGGCAGTGTACGTTTTAGTCTGGTGATTGTTAGCCCACAGACGAAATGGGTTGGCGGTAGAGTAAAGAGGTGAGTTGCGACCAATCTGTCTGAACGAAGAACGAACGCTGAATCCTCTGGTGGGTAAACGCAGTTGGCGCGATTCCCCGAGAAACTTACTCACCTCAAACACATTTATCTAGCTCGCTTAGACTTTAATTTTACTCCGACACTCACTTACGTTTATATTGCTTACAGCGACTCTCTAATTGGATTCGTTATGCTTCGCGGGCGTTATTAATATGGATTACGCATAGAATATTATTTTTAAAAACTTAAAGATTAAAGCTCGTCATTGAATTACTCAGTTAAAAGTGAGTAGTTAAGCCTTACCATTAGTCAGACTTTTATAGTCGGGGGAAAAAAATACTTTTATCAAGAAAATTTTCTTGATACACGTTGTTAAAAGTACTTTTAATTGAATTGAACCCTTCGAAGTAAAATTCATTCTAAAAAGGGCTTTATTGATATTATTGATGAAAAAACTCTACAGAGTGAATCTTTTATTTTTTTTTTAATTAAATAAAAATAAATAAGAATATTTGCTACTTGTTTAAAAGTTTCAAAATGCGTATTTAAAAATTTAAAAATTAATATAATCTTTTTCTTGAGTTTGAACAATAAATAAATTTTAACAATTAAAAAAAAATGACAAAAAACTTTTTTTGAATTTTGACTTGTAAATTATAAATAAATAAAATTTTGCTTTATTAAATGATGAATTTTGTTCAATTGCACTGTACTTTTTTAAACATGGACGTTTTTAAAGATATAAGCTCATCCCGAAGTTAAAATCATCCAGAGCTTTCATTTGAGTACCCACATGCATTTTGATATATATATAATATATATAAATATATGAAAAATTGATGTGGGTACTCAAATGAAAGGTCTCGATAAGTGCAATGTCGGGGTGAGCTTATATCTTTAAAAATGTCATTAGTTCACAAAATATAATGTAATTTCTTAATTATTGACATTTTTAAAGAAATAATCTGATTTGGATGTTACACCCATCAAGACCTTTTATTTGAGTACCCTCATGGCATTTTTTATATATTTTTCATATATACATATATATAATATGTATAAATATATGAAAAATTGATGTGAGTACTCAAATGAAAGGTCTTGATGAGTGTAATGTAGAGGTGAGCTTATATCTTTAAAAATGTCATTAGTTCACAAGATACAAGGTCATTTATTTGTCTAGAGATAAAACATTTTCGAATGCAGCCTAAATATTTATCATAATAAATTAACTATCGGCGAGAATGATATGAAATCTTTAAAAGGCACGAATTCAAGTCAAGACCTTTGCAATGACACTAAGTTTCACTAAAAAAATCGTCTTTATCATATGACTATTTTGGAAACAAAATTGTTCTTATTCTTTTAATAATATAGATTTTTCTGTATTGAAAGTTCTAAAAATTGCCATACGTCAGTTAATTTTAGTAATTGTTTTTATTTAATTAAATGTACCTAGTAATGTTAATAATTTATTATTTCTTACTTTTACGGTAGAATTTACCAACTAAATTCAAAAACAAAATAATAGTTAGGAAAATTAGATTTGATGTTCTTAAAATTTTTTATTTCAAAAAATTATTGAGTCAATATTTTTTTTTACGGAATGATTTAAAACTATCCTAATTCTTTATTTACAATTTTAAAAATTTTGGTCTTGTGTAAATAAAGTAAACTTCATCGATCTTTCTGCAGTGTTGTGTAAACATGTAATTACGGGAAGTACTAACCAGCTTTGACATTAACTTCACGCCCAAGTACACGACCCACGCTGTTGGATGCTTGGCACCTGTACACGGCAGAGTGAACGTCATGACGGTAGCTTTCAGCGCCGAATGGCAGAAAGTACATCGAACCATTGGCCAGTATCTCTCGGATATTCGGAATAGGATGTACAGGCGAGCCATCACCCATTAACCAATCTACTCTTGGCACTGGACTCCCATGAGCTGAACAATGCAACATTGCTCCTGTGTCATTGGAAAATTCTACCGTCGAGCGTGGCTCTGACGCTAAAACTGGCCCTTGACTGTCCAGCAGTGTTCCTCGACCTGTAATTATAATGGTTGAAGTTCAATTATTTCGGTAAATTAATTGCTCTCGTATAAAATTTTGGCATTGATTTTTTTTAATTATAAAAAATGTTTTAAATTTTGATCCGAAAAATTTTTTATCACTACAGAATTATTTTTTCTTCAACAAAATTTTTTTTTACTATGAAAAATTATAAAATTTATTTAAAAATTTTATTGATAAAATTATTTTGATTTTTTCATCAACTTCATAGTTAATTTTGTAGAAAATTAATTCGTAAAAAGTTAAGGTCCGTTGATTCGTTCCAAACTGCCTACTTTTATTTATGTCCGGGTTTCAAAACGCACTTAAGTGCTCCAATTAGTTCGGGGGCAATTCCGCTCCATTAAAATTTAAAGAGGCTCATTTTGTTCTTCTCTTAAAAGTTTTCGGTTGCAGTGGGTCTCGTCAAAAACTAGCTACCATGATAAGTATTATGACACAACTTTTAAAGGCCTGCTTATATGAATTTGAATTTTTAACGCTGGTGAGCAGCTTGGAGTGATGTGAAAACTTTTATCGAGTTGAAGATATTCTTTCTAAGTTAATAATATTCATACACTAATAGAAAAATTAACTTAATTCAAGAGCTAAAATCTTGAACTAAGAGACTTATTTTTAAGAATTAGATAATCCTGAATCAAAAAGAAAAATTCACATATTTTTTCCATATATTTCAATTGTAACCAAAATCAGTAAAAAGTTAATTATTAAAAGAATATTTTGTATTCTTCTATACTATTTATTTGAGATATAATTTTTTTCATGACGATAACTAAAACTAAGAAAAATATTTTAAGGACGTTCCTAGACAAGAAAAAGACACTAATAGGTTATGGGTATTGGTTTCTTTCTCACGCTTTAGTGCTGCCTCTCTTTACAGACTATCGCTCACTTACTTCCACTCACGTAAAATATCAAAAGTCTCTAACTTCAAACATTTTTTATAAAAAAAAAGAATATAGCTCGTTTATGTTATTTTTGATAAAAAAAAACTTGTTATATCTTCAATTAATGATTCTCAGATTTTTAGAACAATCCTAAGAAAGTACGATTGATATTTAATAAAACGTTCGCTTGAACGTCGGTCAGCATAAAGTTTGTATGTAAAATATACAAATTTTAAATGCTAATGTTTCAAAACTATCTGTTACTCGTCCGCTCCGCTGGGTGGTTTATAGAATTGCATTTTTAGATCTAGACTTGAAATTTAATTAGAGTATTGTTTTGATTTGCACAGATTCCAAATTCTATCGAATTGACATGTACCTTTTATCCATGTATAATTGAGGAGCTTATTTTCAAAAGGGTATCTTTTGATTTTTGATTAATCGAGACAAAAAATTAGTTATCTTCAATTATAAATATTTGTATTGAACTTTTTTTAATTTAGCTATAAAGTGCAATCGGTTATGAAGCTGCAATTCGATTTTCATTTATAAATGTTCATAATTCTCGAAGTAATTAGTATTTAAAAGTTCAGAAAACTGGTATTTTAAAATATGAAAAGATACCTTTTTGAAAATCAGCTCCTCAATTATTCTAGCTAATACTCATTGTAATTTTCAATGTGCAATCATTATAACATTCCCGTGTTTTTCTTATAAAAATAAATAATAATTGATAGGAAAAAAAAAATTTGCAATGAGCATTGATAGTTTCAGTTGAAGAAATTGCAGGTCTCATAAGTGAAGAAATCTGCCTAGTATATAAACATAACCAATAGAATTAAAAAATTTATTTTAAATAAATGACAATCGAATAGCATAAATTTAGTTGCAATAAAAATTCATTATTTATAAGTCAAAAAAATATAGGCTCCGGATAAGTAATCACCAACATATCATATACTACAACCTTCTCCGAAACACGCTGCATCTTATGGTATTAGTATCATTCCGATCGGTTCAGTAGTTTTTGCAGTATAACCGGACAAACAAACCGGCTCTCCATTTATTAGTATAGATTTAGTGCCACAAGGACTATTTAAAAAAATTTCTGTGTATAGAGGATACTTATGATTATGAGTATAAGTACTTAAAATTTAAAAAAATTTTAAGAAAACGTTTTTTTCTCGGAGTGTCCTTAATCGAAAAATTTTTCTACTTGATTGAAGAGCCTAATTTTTTAAAACAATGTTATTGGCTCAACAGTTTTATTCTTGGATTAAGTTAATTTTTCAACATGAAGTACATATACGTCTGCTAAGCGACGTATTTATGTTATTAATCTCAGCAGTGTTTCTGCATTAATTATTGGTAATTTCGAAGCAATGTGAACTGTAAATTTAGCATTAGATTAGCGAGAGTAGATGCTGGGAGCAAATATATGTTTAAACTGGGTGTATGGCTTAAAGGGGCTTCCGTACGTTAATATAGGATTGGCATATATGCACGTCCATATATCTTGAAAATGCCGGTAGTAAAGTCGGATATACTGCACAATATATACGGCGAAGACGAGATGAAGCTTCTGCGACTGGAGGAATAATGAAAAATGTTATTTTATGTCTGTACCTCCGTGTGGGTATGAAAGAATTTTATTTTTTGAGAGTACAAGTATGTAAAAAAGTCCGGTAATAGAAGAGAAAATGTCAATGTTATGAAATGATATATAATGTCAACTAGAAACTTAATATCCTACACAATAAACATCTGATGTACGTGAGCACATATTATGCGAGAACTGGTAACTTTACTACCAGTTGTAAGGGAAAATACCATATGTTTATATTAAATGCAAGGACTCTATGAATCCTTAAATTATACATCACACAGCAGGACATGATTCCGTTTATACGAAGGTACCGAATAAAAAAGATTAATGAAAAGTAAATAAGAAATATTTAATTTAAACGTTAACCGCTTTGATATTTTCCGGGAGAGATACCCACGGTTAAATTAAATAGCCAAGCCATAATGGCGGACATGTAATGAGATATTTCCCAGCAAGTAATTAATATTTAGTAGCAAAAGGGAAAGATTTATGCTCCTTATTTATTTACTTCTCTGTACGTTACCTACACTTAAATGAGGACTACCGTGACTCTTGATGATACCAACATGATTTACTGACGCACGAATTATTTTCCTTACATTTACTGAATACGCTTACTGTAGTATGTTTATGTACCTACATTGCGAAAATGAGACTTGGAAATTTAATATCAACATTTATTAATCTGTGGATGGAAATTTTCATAATTAATGTCATATTCCCATGACAAAATTTATATCAATAATATATATTTATTAAAAATTCATTATCATTAACTAATTAGCTGATTTTCGTTCATAAACTTTATGAACCTTGACTATAACTGAAGCAGATTAAAAATATGTAAGAAATACATGCATAAAAATATTTTAATAAAACATAAAAATTTATTTTGAACTGTATAAAAAATTTTAATGCATCTATTTTAATTATAACAAGAATTTTTTTGCTTGGTTCAAAATATCAAGCCTTTAAAATCTTATTCTTGATCCAAGAAATTTCTTTTTGGATGAAATTAATTTTTTTAATATAAACTATAGCAACCTTGCAGTCACTATGTGACTGCCGTGACTTGTGAACTATAAATAAATAAAATTTTGTTTTATTAAATAATGACTCTTGTTAAATTGCACTGCACTTTCTTAACTATTGACATTTTTAAAGATATAAGCTTAGCCCGATGTTACACTCATCAAGAGCTTTCATTTGAGTACCCACATGCATTTTCATATATTTTTTATAAATATACATATAATATATATATAAAATATATGAAAAATTGATGTGGGTACTCAAATGATAGGTCTCGATGAGTGTAACGTCGGAGTGAGCTTATATCTTTAAAAATGTCAATAGTTTACAAGATACAAGGTAGTTTCTTAATTATTGACATTTTTAAAGATATAAGCTCATCCTGATGTTACACTCATTAAGAGCTTTCATTTGAGTACCCACATGCATTTTGATATATTTTTCATGTATACATTTATAATATATATATATAAAATATATGAAAAATTGATGTGGGTACTTAATTGAACGGTCTCGATGAGTGTAACATAGGGGTGAGCTTATATCTTTAAAAATGTCAATAGTTTACAAGATATAAGGTAATTTCTTAAGTATTGACATTTTTAACGATATAAGCTCATTTCGATGTTACACTCATTAAGAGCTTTCATTTGAGTACCCACATGCATTTTGATATATTTTTCATGTATACATATATAATATATATATAAAATATATGAAAAATTGATGTGGGTACTCAATTGAAAGGTCTCGATGAGTGTAACATAGGGGTGAGCTTATATCTTTAAAAATGTCAATAGTTTACAAGATATAAGGTAATTTCTTAATTATTGACATTTTTAACGATAT